CCCCTTCTCTCTTTTTCCCCCTTCTCTCTTTTTCCCCCTTCTCTCTTTTTCCCCCTTCCCTTTTTCCCCCTGGACAGTAGAGTGCAGCCTCAATACTGCATGAATCCAGGTTACCTAGAGAGAGAGAGAGAGACAGAAGTCTGGAAGCTAGAGGGTGACTGACTGGAAAAGTGAAATTGGGATTGCTGTGTCAGGGAAGGAGAAAAGATTGTTGTGATTTGTCAAGATCAGATTATCTCGAGACTTTCCAACGTGCCAGTGGAAATTGCTTCAACCCCTGTAAGCTTTTCCAAATGATGGTTATGCAACAGTATTCAGAAACAAGAACAAAAGGTCATTTCTCGCTGGTTTTCTAGTGATAATATCCTTCCATTTTTTTATGCTTTTTAACCCTGGAGTTCTCTGGTGGACTGAACACAATGCAATGTATTTTTTTTTATTTATTTTTTTTTTTAGTGGGGGAGGAGGGAAGAACAGAGAGCTTCTTGTTAATAACGATTGATTTCTTGAAACTTTTTTGTTGTCTCCGAGAATTTATACTTGTGGGAGGAAAATCCATTCTCCATTAGTTTTGCTCTTGTTGCATCAGTCTGCCATTACTGCTGATGCCTGCTGGAATGGATCTGTAAGCTCGTTAAGGAGATGCTGTTTGATGCTGGATGCAGTATCTGTACAGAAATGCATGAGAAATAAATGATTTATTAAACACAGCGGGTACTTTACTCCTTGTGCTGTTCTTGCCCACAAGCGCCTCACGTGCATATATCTATATATATATATAAAAAAATCTACATACAGGCACAGATAAAGGGTTTTATCTCTTGCTGGCAGCCTGTTGAGATCATCATTTTATGGCTCGTGTTTTATTTGCCCGTGTTTCATTTTTACAGTCCTCTATCAGCTCCACAGAGCACTCGGTCTCCCCTGATACACATGGGCCCTGAAACAAAGCACTGCAGGGTGGCAGCGCTGCTGGCAGGAGCCAGCCCTTCCCCTTGTGCAGATTAATCTGCTCCTGTCCTTTGCCACTGGACTAGGCTTTTCTCTCCTCCTTCTTTTTTACTTTCTCTTGCCCACCCCTTGCCTGCCTTTTTGCAGGTGGACACTCCTCCATCAGCCAGGCTGGGCTCCAGTTTTCGAGCGTTTGTTGTCGGGGTGGCTCAGAAGGGCTCGTGAGCTCTTACCAGTCACTGCTGCAGCCAGACAATTGCAGAATCTACTGTAACTTCTGCTGGCATCCATGTCTGCTTACAGTCTTCCGTGATGTTTGATTTCTGCTCTCTGGCCAGGGATTCAGATTACAGTTAATTGGCTCCAGGACCTTCTGTTCTGCTGGAGATCCCCGCGGTGCCAAGGCAGCACTTTAAGCTCGTTGGGCATTTAGAACGCTGCTAGGACAGCCTCATTGGTTTAGTACTGGCAATTAAATTTTTATTACATCGTGGTGATGCTTCAGATGGGCCAGCATTTCTTCTTCCAGCACAGAACAGGCGATTTATGAGTACACGACCCCTGACTTTGATCGTGTCCGTTCCTCCCGTTATTGAATTCGTTAATCATTGTTCTCCCCGGAACAACAATGCCTCTCAAACTTTTTAGCTCCAGCAGGTGTCTTTAGGTCATTTAACACATTAAACACACACGTCCACGTGTATCTGTATGTGTGCTTGTGCCTGAGCACACCCTCGTGGAAATGCACGATAAATTCTGAAGGAGAGGCTCGCGGGTGGCGAGTTAATCCCAGACTGATCCCGAGGAACTTTCCTAGTGTCTGCCTTCCATACGGGTGGTCATCTTCTCACATGTTGTGTTTTGCTTAGCTTTTAAGTTATTAACAGCTAAATTATTAACAGTTAGATTAATCACAGTTTTGTCTGCATTCATTCCCGGGTTTTTCGGCCCCTTTTTATTTTCATCCACGCCTTACCAAATACTTCCAGAAACTGTGATAGACTTACCTTAGCATAAAGAATCAGTTTCCTTAACAAACTTGTACATGACCTCACTGGCTTCTGGGAAGCGCTCCGGCTGTGTGTTTCCAGTTTGAAATAAAAGACAAATGAACAACAAAAAAAAAAAAACAAACCCTCAACCCCAAAGTCAAAGCTGTTAGGACAGAATAAATGGGATAGGGCAAGAGAATGTGAAGAAAAGATTGTGTGAACTTGAAGATCTGAAAGCATGATGTTCTCTTCCCCTTCCGCTGCCCTTCCTCACCGTGCTGGGTTTTTCGACACGTTTGATTTATTTTAATGCTTTTTTTAGATTCCGGGCTGTGTCAGCCGGGGCGTAGAACACACGAATGCCCGCGTGCCTTCCTGGGGGGAACGGGGATAAACAGGAGGTGGGAGGTGTTAGATGCACGAGGGCGGCTGTCTTTGTGGCTGAGAAATGCAGAAATGCCCGAAACGCTCCCGGCGGCTTCCCGATCAGCCGGGAAGGAAAGGTCCAAGAAGGCAGGGAACCCGACAGAAACACACACACAAACGCACAGAGCCCCAAAGTCCCACCACCCGTGTTGTGTTTGGGGGTGGGAGGGATTGCTGGTTGGAGGTCGCGTGGCCATGCACCTGCAGGGTTTTTTTTTTTTTTTAATCAGCTTCCCCTGAGATCTGCGTGCTCTCTGAGGAGGAATTAAGTGTGGAAAGGCGGAGCTGTTTAATCTGTAACCGGCTTTTGTCGCCTGTCTGGAAGGGCCGCTGGTGGGGTGGCACTGAACCTCGTTTCCCTCGGGGCAGCTGTTCTGCTCAGGGCTCCTGAGCTGCTGGGGTGGAGGGTGGAGGAAGGAAGGGAGCTGTCCTGGTGTTTTTGCCCTAAGGATTAATGCCATTAAGGGAGAACAAGAGCCACTGATGAGATAGAAAAGCAGCGGTTTAGTGGAGCGTCTCTGAGGCACATTGCTAGGAAAATTGGGATTGGAATGGTTTTTTTTTCCAATCCCACTTTTCCCTTTTCCAATCCCACTTTTCCCTTTTCCAGTCCCATTTTTTCCCCCCTCCAATCCCACTTTTTCCACCTAAATTCCCACTTTTCCCTTTTCCA